CTTTACCTTTTTCTTCCTTTCTCCTTCTAAGCTCATTATACGTTCTTTTTTATACATTTTAAGGCGCACATATGGCGAAAGCCGCTTGCGCAATCGTTCTTTTTTCTTTTTCAATAAAAAGTTTATATAAAAAAAAAAAAAACCCAAACCAAGAGAAGGGAGAAAGCTGCACTGGAAAAGATGCTGTGGATCCTGAACGGTATTGGGTCTGGTTCTTTCTTGATAGAAACAAACCAAAATATCAGGTATTCTTATTTTGTTGGGGAGTTTATCATAATGGCTTACTGTAAACCTAAGTGTGTGTTCGAGTCTGCATGGAGTATGACCTATTGATTTTGTGTTTTTCGATAGTTAAAGTTTTAGAATACTATAATGAACTTATTTTCTTTATATTTTCGAAGAACAAAGCTCAAATTGACTGAATGAACTGTATTAAACAATAGAATCATTACGATGTTCATCGTTGTACTAAGCTGCGTATGTTTATACTTCTCTCTTAAATTGTTTTCTTTATTACATGCCTGACGTTTATCTTCAACGGATGTTTTGATGTCGATATCTCCCACGCTTCTTAAATCTCAGTCGACGTGATGTACAATTCGAGAGACGGAAATATACAGAAATAATACCGCTACCGTTCAAAAACAACTCGACAACAATGAAGTTAAGACAAACTAAATTGCACATCGTAGAATCAAAAAAACTGGAAATTTTGACGGCATTTTTACAAAAGTTCGAAGTCGCAATTGAATTTGGACTTCTCTGGGTCAAGAATGTGTTAAGAATATTTTCTGCTTTAGAACTGTGCCATTCCATTGACTGCAACCACCTGGAGTGCATTTTAAGTGCAAAATAAACTCGATATGGTTAAAAGGTTTTCGAACTTTTTCCTACTGAAGAAAAAATGTTCTTTTTTCTAAAAAGAGATAACAGTTATTGATGTGTTTTAATATGACCGAAGTAAGTGTGAATTCATACTAACTATATCACTCGACAGAGTTTCTTTGACAGCTAACTAACTAATTTATTCGTTAAGTTCAAAGATGTTATAAAAAATGCTTGTCTGATATTTACTTGTAATGCTCGAAATAGTGGTGGTTCCAATCTATGAACATTGCGGTCTCATCGAAACCAGAGATCGTCACAGACCAGGAAAATCCATGGGGACCCACGGGCTGGACCGAGTCGGGCCTACGTTTTTGAATCTTGTTTACGGGTGGGACCGGACCGGGCTGCAATTTGATAGCCCGCATCCGAGCCCATCCTTTTTCCCAAAAAGTCGATAAAATCACAAGACAACATCGAAAAGCAACACTCATATTAAATGTGAGAAAAAGATACTACCTTTTCTTGAAAATGTCGCTGACGACGTTGACTGTTCTTTGAGTATCTGTTCTAGATACTGCTAAAGGTACTGGCTAGAGTTTTTGTTTTTTAGAGTAATTTTGTTCTCGGTCAGTTAAGTGATTGTGAAATTTTGAATAATGAAATTCCATCGATGGTAAATCATCCCAACAAAATGGTTATTGTTGAAGCAGAATGGGAGATGCTTTTTCTCTTTGTAAGTTCTGGCCATATCCGGTAGTGCTATAGTCGTCATCTGTTTTAAAAGAAATTCTCACTGTTGGGAATGTAACTTATTAAATAATAAGCTGGATTTCGGTAATATACTAGTAGTACTGATATATTACCGAAATCCAGCGCTTTTAATATCTCCTATGTTTCCATACTAATCCAGATTCTACGGATCCCGTAGAATGTAGAATACATTTGGCCCCGTCCGTACGGGCCGCTGCGAAGAATTTATGTGTTCACTCCGTAAAAACGTGACCTGGGACGATCTCGTATCGAAACTTCATCCGATCGAATCTAAAATTTTACCCACAGCTACCTAAGGTGATATCTCAGAGCAGTAATTTTTCTTTTTCGTTTTTGACTTTTTCTGTTCGAATTACGAAGTTTTCAAAACCAAAAGCCTTGGTTTTACCTAAGGCTTTCACCATCGATAAGGAAAGCTAAAAAACAAAAAAGAAAATTACTATTCTGAGATACGTCCCAGATATTTGTGGTAAAATTTTGGACCCGATCGAATGAAGTTTTAGGGGGAGTGGGGTTGTAATGTACCCCTTGAAAGCCATAGTTTTTCAGAAGAACATGTCAGGAAATTCTAGACAAAAATACATTGATTTTCTTTTTCGATGTTCTACCTGTGATATGAATTTGAGCTTAATCAGACTTTCACTCTCGATTTGCCAAAAGAATGAAAAAAGAGGGATACTCTTAGTGCCACATGAGATGAGGACAGTCAGTCTCTTCGATGTGAAATGTTCATTTTAGATTATGTGATATGTTTATGTCAAGTAGTTTTATCATAGGCTTGTGCTACTGGATTATTAGCCAGTTTGATAAGTGAAGGAGACAAATATGTTGATGATATGTGGAACAAATTTGGTGATCTCTTATTTTTTGATGATTATTTCGCACTTAATAATTTCGTGATCAAAAATATCGATACGCAAGGTCTAAAATCGACTATTAAGGCACACTCGAAATGACAAAAATAGGATCGAAGGGTGTATTATTTAATTTGACGTGTTATACAATTTCTAGATACGGTTTAAACCACTCTCTTAAAGATGGAGTCCGCATAAGACTTGAAATCGGTCCACTAACTTTTACCACACCAATCGGTACATAACTCATTAGAATCATATTCGATCATCGTATTCGATGCTCTTGACCCTTCCGAGTGCTTTCAGACGAATATACCCGACAGAATCTACTCGAAAACCAGCAATGACTTAGCATCAACAGGTCCCATACCAGCCAAACTAACGGGAAAACAAAAAGATACGTGCTTAGGGCCTTCCGTAAATTGAATGCTGTTTCATGAAAAACGTTGTAAAGAGCTCGCAGACGTCTCATTTTCTTTAGAAATGTTTGGTCTACACGATGGACTTTTTTGCAAAGAAGTTCTAGATTGAACTTGGGGACTTGGTTTTCTGAGACCCTGGTTTTAAGAGTTTTGGTAGAATCTTTTTACACAGCACTTAAGATCGAAAATTCTTTCAGCTGTTCAAATCCTTTTTCAAATTTAGTCTAGCTATGATGGTCGACGAGAAAAATGGAAAATAGAGCTTTTGGACCCACTGTAGGTTTAAGCGCCGCAGTATTTAATACCCCAAAACCACTGTCAAGCTTCGTTAAGTGTCCTATTAACACATGTTGTACAGCTTTTCAAGGGGCATCGAAAGATGTATGAATGATTAGAGACCCTCTTTAGTTTCATAGAAAAGTGTGATAAACAGTTCCCTTGACATAGCCGCAACCTATGGAAAAGTCTAGTATTAAACTCATAAAACCTGCTACCAGGCTTCGTTGCGCTCAGAAGGGTCGAAATCATCGAATATGATTCTGATGAGTTTTGTACCGATTGGAGCGGTAAAAGTTAGGAGGCCGATTTTAATAATAAGAATGGTACAATAGTTATCTTCCAGTTATGCGTGTAAAGAGATACGAAAAGACATCAAATATCGCGAAATAATCATTTTATCAAATGATTTCAGTTCAAAACAGTTCAGATATTTTCTCCACAAGAAGCGGATTATATAGTACGTGCCGCAGCACGTAACAATCAAAATAATCATTATTAGGATTTATTTTAGTTTTTTCTTCACTTTACCTGTGAAAACTGTTATGTATAAAAAAAAAGATAAGAAAACAAGAAAGAGAAAGAGCAAAAACCAATAACAAGATTGACAGTTGAAAAAAAAAATCCACATAAGAACAAAATAGATTTGGGTTTTTCTTTTCCTGTTAAATACACAGATGTCTTTTTGTCATGAAAAAACAAATAGAAAAACAAACATTAGATTATAGATGCCGATAAAAATTGTTGGATTACGCAACAATGAAAACATTTTATTGTTTTCTTCTCTTAACAAAAAAAAAGAAAAAACAATCACTGTCTACTACATTCTATTAAACAAAAAGAACAATTAAATTGATTTTTTTATTATAAGTATTTAACATGTAAATGTAAAAGATAAATTCATACAGTTGAGCAAAAAAAAAACAGAATTTCAAAGTTCAATCAGTAAAATATAGATATATCAGTTTTGATAGAAGTTTTGCGGCAGATATACACACAGAAAGACATAGAGTAACAAAAAATATGGTCAGATTTAAATATGATGTACTACATAATAGTAAAAATAATGAGAACAATAATATTTATGAACGAAGTCTTTGTAGCAATAATAAAAGTTGTTCGGCATCATGATCGCTTAATGAACGAGCCGATGTTGAAGATGTCGTAGTTGATGATGACGTCGACGATGATGTATTTGTAAGCAGTCTTCTACTAGTAGAGGTCACGTTATTACTAGTCGTCTGTTGCTGTTTTCCTTGAAGTAAACTATTTAAAATCGTTGTTGGAGCATGTTGCCTTGTGCCAGCAATTTGTTGCAGTATAGTTGTATGTAGTATTTGTCTAGCATTAGATGTACTCAGTAATTGTTGAATCTGTTGCACGGTACCAAGTCTAGTTGAGTGTTGCGCAGTCGATTGTTGTTTATTAGTAGTCAGTTCTTCATGAGTAGTAAATCGAGAAGAAGATGATTGTACTGGAAATGTACGACGATAACTGTAATGATTTGATGAAGTTAATGATGCAGGAGTTGGAAGAAGGGGTTGTGGTGGCGGAGATGGAAGAAGTCCTGTTGTACGATACCGTGCTATTGCTGATGTTCGATGAGTTGGACTTAGATTTGTTGTATCAATATCTTTTTCATTGTTCAACAATAGTGTATCAGTTTTATTTTGAATATCATCTCCAATATGTTGTTCCCGTATCAACGGATCTATATTTTTGGATTCATTCAAATGCTTATCACTACTAATACTTGGAATTAATTCTATGGTCGAATCTGTTATTAAATCAACTGGATTGTTTTCACTATAAAAGAGAGTAAAAAAGAATATCATACTTAATATTCGCAATGCACGAAATCAAAATGCACCCTTTAATGAGAGAAAAATTAACTTTTTTTAACAAACCGTGTAGTTAACATATTCCTATCAATTCATCCAAGTATTTCAACTCTGAATTAAATTTAAGTCCATTTAAACAATGGATGGAAAGAGAGCGTCAGCAGCAACAATGGTCAGTAGCAAAAATTCTGATTTTTCAGACTTTAAATTAAATTTTTATGCCAACTATACAAATTTCTAATGTGTTGCATCAATCGAGAATTACATTCATCGATTATTGCTAATGATGCCTATTAGTTGCCGTTACCTCGGTCTAACAACTATAAAAATACTCTCTGTGCTCTGGTGCACACATTATAACTAGACATCTACGTCAATCCTTTTTTCGTGTTCATCATCTGTGCCATATCAATATATGCCCATTGGCATGGGCGGTAGGTATGGTGACAGATTCTCATTTCTAACAAAATTTGTTAGTAACGAATTTTAAGATCAGACGGTGTACGAGTAGGGATGAATGAAACAAAATCATAGGCTATGATAATCATCCGATGAGGTTCACATGAAGAAAAATGCTCAGCCATATATGTTTTCTTATTCTATACTGTCAAAATCTAGCCCATTACCAAACATCTGTGTCGGACATAATCGCAAATGTCTAGTTACAATAACTTATTTCAAATAAATAATACAAGAGAGAAGGTGCATAACACAAGGAACATACACGCAGAATTACACAGTCAACTATAAGTGCCATTTCTAAAACATTGTGTGCATGTATACAATGTACAAACAACAATAGAAAAAAACAGCTGGAATACACACAGTTAAGAATGGTTATTTGATCCGTTTCAGCCATCGAAAAAGAATTCGAAAAATGAAATGGAATTTTAAATTTTTGAGTTCGATTTGACGTTCTGATATAAATAATTACATGCTTGTAACTGAGAACATTAACACAGCGAGGTCTACTTATAATCACCCATTGAGCAACCTGATCTTTTATGATAACGAATGTTTTTCATTCTAAAATACAATATTAAAATGTTCAAAACTGTTATTATTAATAATAACTGATTTCTCAGCTACTGCTCGCAGTAAAAAGCTTAAGCAAGGCGTCCTACCTTGACTGTTGTCGATTTTCCCTAACAGCATAGGAAGACCTTAGATAAGTATCAAAATGTGTCGGAATTGAGAAGCAGGAGGGAGAAGACCCAATGCTTGTTATTTCGGTATCTATTAATAATTTTGGAGGATGTGGCAGGGTGGATGTTGAATGAGGCACAAATCGAATTTGACGTTCAAAGGGAGACAATTGTTCAGTATAAGACGGTACAATCAATGAATTAGTAGGACCAAGTGTTGTGAGATCATGCCCGTAGGAGTTACTATTCCATATAGATTCATAATCATGTGTATGCAGTGAACTAGAATGTTGTGAAAAATTCACATTTGTAGCAAATAATACAAGTTCACTAACCATCATCGAGGTATTAATAAATTTGAGAAGTCTGATGTGGAAAATAATAATTAATAGTAATAATAAGTGTAAAATATGCCAGATAGAGTATCGTTAGAGTATGCACAAATTATAGTGAAAAAAAGAATGTTGATTAAAGAGTTAAAGTGTAATATGTACTAAGTACATTAGCACATACTAGGTTAGAATAAGCATCAAAAAGCGCTTTTAAAAGTAAATTAATTTAAAGCTTGATTTAGCAAAATACGATTAGACGTCTAAATATTTCAATCTCATGCATTGAAATTAATTAGGTGATTAGTTCAAAGCATGTACTAAACAAATTCATTTCTTTTTTATCATCGAATAACACTTCTTTTTTTTTTTTATCAACGATACACATACCGTCAAAAATATTAGTTCAATGTTTTCGATACTTATCATTACTGTAGAGAATTTCTCTATACCATGTGTAACCAAGACAATCGACAGCAGCAGCCAAAATAGCAAATAGAATCGCTCAAATCACCCGTAGAAAATATCAGAACAGGAAAAAGAATTACGAAAAAAACATTTATTATTCCACTTTTTTCTTAGAATTAATTTATCAATCTTAACTTGTGTATTCCATTCTTTCGAATGCATATTGAAGCGTATCAGAAAATTTTAATAACTAATTTCACTTACTTTCGTTCTGGAAATGAACAATTAATTCTCAATCTTCCAGATGAATGTGTGGGTGATATACTTCTTGATCTATGTAAATGTTGATTATCATTTAAAATATCATGTGTTGATTGTGATGAATGATGCGGTGGATAGGGTGATGATGGCACTACATCCATTTTATTATAATAATCATGTTGAATATCATTATAGCGATTATTCATTATAGGATGATTAATCATTCGTTGATGATTGTAATTAAATAATCTGTGTGGACCTCTCGTTTGAATATTTTTATCATTTTGAATACTTCCATTCATCCATGGACGATTTAATTCATGCTCAACTGATGGTTGAATTTCATTATTATTAAAAACGGTTTTCATTAACGGAGGTGGTAATAATGACGATGAAGATGAATGGATTTCTTGATCTTGTGGTGATTTGGAAAGTGGTCTAAAATGCCGATGTTGACGTTCATAACTTAGACTTCTTTTTCGATCTCTTTGTGGTCGTCGATTATCTTGTGGATGTTTTGCATTTGTTCGCTGTCGCCTTCTCGATGGATGACTACGATTGTGAGAAGTCGTTTTTTTATCGGACGTTGATGTATGATAATAACGACCACCATAATGACGAGATGATTCATTATTACGGTTTTTATCACGACTACGTGATCGTGACGATCGTGTCGAGCGAGAAGTTGATCGACGATGATAACAATTAGAAGAATTTGTTTTTTGACTACTTCGACTACGTGAATGCGGACTGTGGTGATGTGTGTAAGAGTCATGACGATGATATGATGATGAATGATGATGAGTTGGACTTTTTGAATTTCGACGATTGTTATTACGATAAAAACTATTTTTAGATGAATTACGTGAACTCGTAGACGATAAACGTGATGAATCTATTTTCTCATCTTTAATTGAAGTAGATCTCTGACTATGAGAACGTGATTTTGTGCGTCTTCTACTGTTTGAATCACTAACATTTTCTTTTTCATTATCAATAGTACTATTATTGATAGAGTCTAATCGTTCATCAAGATCATTTTGTTGATCAATACTCGTATTTTCTGTTGGAGTTTTAATACTGTCTAATTGTGATTGCTGATTTGATGTTGCCCCATCGTCAAAATCAAAACGATAGTCTCTATCTCGTACATCACCATCAATATCATTAAGAATATTGTCGTTCTGTAATTGACTGAGCACAATAGTGTCAGAGGAACACTGAAGTCCGTCTAGAATATAAACGAAAAAAAGCTGATTAGCATAAATTCTTCTATTTAAAAATATTTAGGCTAAGAATTAGATCTGTATAAATATCAATGTATCTAATAGCTAATAAAGTTCTACTATTCGCAGTTCAGTAAGTTGTGACATGAACATTTAAATATATATGGAAAAAACCACTTGCTGTGCATTGAAATTTTGAGTAGTAAATTTTGAAGACAGAGAAACTATTCGTGTTATTAAGTGATTCTGAAAAACTTTTCTTAAATGATTCAGATACGTATATATCAAAAAACAAACTAATTCTAAATATAAAATTTCAATATTTTTTATACAAATCAGCGTGTTCATGTGTCATATTTTCTGACGAATAACTTTGTTTTATTTATTTCTGCAAAAAATAAGAGTTGCTTACCATCATTAATTTTGTCATTTTCATTTATCATACTCTCTTTCTCATTAATATCCTTACTATTGATTGTTCCTGTTTGATCATTATGTACATCAGTGATGTCTGACTCATCTAGAGTAGAATCTGGCTGTTGTTGTTCTTGTTGTTGGTCTTGTTTTTGTTCAGTAACGTCAAAATTACCCACTTTAATTCTTTTCACAATTGGTTCTGTATCATTAATTGTTGTTGTTGTTGTTGTTGTTGTTGTTGGACTATTTATTTCAGCTTCATCTTTGTTTTCGTCTACTGCTTCTTGTTCATCTTCTAAACTCTTTGACTGTTCAAGTTGTCGTTTCTTGGATATTTTAGTTGTTTTCTTTTTATAATCGACTGTTAAACCGAAATCATCATTTTTATTAGCATCATTATCAATTATATCGTCATAGGATTCGATTCGTCTTCGAAATTCAAGTCCACTACTATAGGGATTTGTCGTAGTTGAATATTGGGGTATTACTGATGGTGAATTATCTGAAATAATATGTGATAAATTTATATTCATTGAACGAGAGGGAATTGGAGTTGGTACTACAGATGTAAGCGGTGCTGGTATTATGGGCTGCTGAGATGAGGAGGAAACAGACGGACGATGACGATTTGTCGACGGTGATAAAGGTAATTTCATCAGTGGTTTTAAAGGCGTAACAGTCCGCTGAGATGCCAATGTTTTTATCGGCTGCGATGGTCTATCATGTCTGTTGTAAAAGTCAAGACGACTGGCAGTTTTTGGTGGTGACGAAACAACAAGAGGTGCTCGTTTTAACGAACGACGACGAGGAGATGGAGTTCGTGTACTAAAAAGAAATCAATTATTAAAGTGATATCATAAATCATTAGAGAAAGAACAAATACGTATAGGAAACCGTCACAACAAATGAGATAAGTCATAGCCATTTTGAAAAGTTCTCGACTTACTGTTTTCGATTTTCGTTGGTATGTCTCCTTGATGAATGTCTTGATTCAATGTTTAATGACGAATACCTTCTGCTTTGATTATTTCGCTTTGATCGACGATGACGAGGTGATGAAGAAGACGATGTGGAAGATGAGTTGGTGCTACTGCTCGAAGAGTCTGTCGATGTCGATGTCGATGATGAATATGTTCTCACACGTGTTAAACTTCGACTTTCTGATGATTGATTACGAAATGAAACATTATCTACAGGTTTTGAGGATATTAATTTTTGAGTAGACAAACTGTTTAATTTGGAATCAGGTTTTGTAAAGGTTTCGAGTATAACAGCAAGTGTGTTGTGTTTGGTTGAATCATTTTTTGTCATTTCCTTGTGTGTTTCAATTGGTTTCTGGGGAATTTTTGATATTATATCAAGAAGAGCATCGTTACTCGGTTGTTGATATTGTAATATATGATTATTAATTTCACTCGAACTTTGCTTTCGACTACTATTCGGTGTACTATTTTCGCTACTGCTTTCAATGAGAAATGCACTCACTAAGTCATCCGCTGTTTTTGATTGTTGTTGTTCAGGTATGGATGTTGTTTCAATATTTACTTGTTGGCTAGATAATTGTTGAGTGAGAGGTTGATGCATCGATCGCAAACCATCTATAATTTCTTTCATACGCTCATCAAATACGGGATTCTTAAAATCATGAGTATTCTGGTGTGTTTGCGATAACTGTTGAGATTGAGTAGAACTATCGTTTTTATTGTGATTATCTGAAAACGATATTGAACTATGAGTGGGATTTTGAATTTTCCTAGAGTTTAGTGGAAAACGTTCATCACAATCGTCAAGTCTGACATCATCTTCACACGATAATTCCATATCAATTACATCTGAATTGTCAACCATTGTCGTATTGTTTAAAACTAAGATGAAGCAAAGAGAAATATGCATAAGCGATCCGAGAAGGAAAATTATTTTTTTAAGTTTTAATGGGACACATATTCATTCTTTCGATATGATCAGAAAATACAATAGATTTCAGTGATAGATCCCTTCAAAAACTGATTATGTTTAGTTACAGTTTTTTCTGCTCACACAATTGCTCGTGCTACCTGTTGTCCCGTCGATCTATTAAAATCTGATCAATATACACTATTTCGGGCAGTTTCTCTAACACCGTCAGTGTTAGATGATAGTACTGAACGTGATGACAATTTAAAGACATGTCTCAACGCATAGTTTCAACTAAAAACATGCTCATTATCAGATTTAAATTCCGCACGAAAAAAATTATACTTTGTTCTGAACCATTATTCTCTCTCGTTGTGTGATTGCGATTATCATTTTGTAATATAATTTCATTGTTCGATGCTGTTCGACCGTATTTTTCATCAAGTATTCCCATTAATCGAGCTAATAATCGTTTGACATATGGCCGTTTTTCCTCACAATATTCTTTGGATAGAAAATCAGAAACACTTTGTGGAATATTTATATGAATATTTTGACGACGATGCTTTTTCAAGATTTCAAGACCATTAATATAATGCGAACGACTAGTATCTTTGACTATTGCTTCAGAATTGCTATTACCATTAGATTGTGATGGTGGTATTTGATTTTTTTCTGTTGTTTCTGATACTGTAATCGTTGTTGGAGTGAACATTTCTTCATTTTCCACAATTTTAGTTGATTCAAGTTGTTGCTGTTCTACGGTCAAATTTTTGTTTTCATTTTCTACAAATTGTTCACTCGGTACATGAACTTTTGTTTTTCTCTTACGCACTCGTTTCTTTTTCAATGATTGTTTTAATCGTTGTCTTAAGGCATTTTTTTCTCGATTTTGTTGTATTTTGTCATTAAAATTTGTGACTAGACGCATAGCATTCTGATTTGTTTCATTATTCAAATCAATATAATTTTCATTGCTGCTAGTAAAATCAAAATTAAAATTTATTACATCTTGAACAACCACGCGTAATGGATAACATTTGTCAACTAGTTTTTCTGGCGAAGCGGGTGACGCTGACGTTGGTAAACAAGATAGTAGACCATCATTTTTTCTATTACGTTGTTTAGTGGATATTAGCGATGATGTCTGAAAAAACAAAAAAACATCAGCTTATATTTTTTTTGGATGTACTGTAAGAAAAATAAAAATTAAGCAAAGGATAAAGAGACAAACAGTCTAAAATCAAAATGGGCTTATGTTTGAACAAATAAACTCATTTAGCTTCGCTATGACAGAAGTAAACATAGATGTTACTAATAACATTCGATGTAGTTTCTCTGAATACATGAGAGAAAAATAATCAACATTCCATCCTTACTGTCGATAATATTATATTTGAATTTTCATTTTCATTTTCATCGAATGATATTTGTTTAATTAAGAATGGTATCAGATGATAAACTGACTTTGTATTACCATTTGTAGCATTGGCATTATAAAGGCTGACTCGTCGTTGCTGTTGAATAGCATGTTTTACGGCATGTGGTTCTAAACAATAAATAACTTTTTTTCGATTTGACTGTAAACGTGGATCAGAAACTGATATATTCATTTCTAGTGGTACATCTAAAGATGTTATCGAGGCAAACAATGGATTAGGATCACGTTGTTTTAAAACTGTATCATCATTTGTTATGGTCGTAGGTGTAACAGGTGTGGTGGGAGATGTGTCATTTTGACGAATTATTTGTTGTTGCTGTTGAACAACACTGTTCGTTTTAGACTTATGATGAAGTTGTTCATTTGACAATGATTTAATCGAAATTGTTTTTTTCGGTACAGTTACTGTTGCTGTAACAATTTGCTTGGTTACTTCAGTTGGAGTTATTGACGGTGATGGTGAACTAATTGTGTCAGGTGAAATTGATAATGTGTTACAATTCAAATCGTTGGTATTCAATGTAGAAGACGATGACAAAGGCTTTTTTGTTGTAGTTATAGCGCGCCGAATTCGTGGATCACGTAAATTAGGTGGAAGAAATGGAGGTTTCTCATTAACACTGAATGACGAAGATTGTTTATCTGACGTTAAAAAATCTGAGGATACTGGAGTAAATAAAGAATATGTTACATCAGTATTATTACTATTTACATTAGAGTTTAATGAAGAATAGTTATTTTGAAGTGCATCATTAACATCATTATAAGAATGTGACATAACATTTTGTTGTTTCATTAATGGATGATTCGCTGAACTACTCATTGAACGATTTAATGATGAACCTAATTTCAAAAACATATCAGGTGTTTTTTTTATTACTATTGGCGTTGCGACGGTTGAATTTGCTGTTGTTAAATTTGGTATTATAGATGTTATATTTTTTAACGGATTGCTTTGATTGACAACTGTTTGTTGTTGCTTTGATGAATGTGTTTCAGCAACGATTGTAATCACATCTCGCCGACCGTTACTAATATTCTCAGATAGTGTTGTACGATTTGTAATTACGGACTGAATGGGTGATGTTTCATTATTAGTTGATTTCTCTTGATTTGATATGGACGATTTATTTACAAAATGTCTGGCGATTTTCTTATGAGCAGTACGAGCAATTTTTAATGATGAACCCCGAATTAATCGTGGAATCTTGATAGTTGAGAATTCACAAAAAAAGGATTCATTCAATTGATACCATAAACAAGCGATTGGAAGAATTTGTGGTGGTTGTAGGGTGTGTGTCATGGTTGTCAAATTGTATTCACAAACATATAACTAAAAAAAAGAAAATCGGTACATTGAATCAAATGTTTGAATCAAATGTTTCCCTAAAGCTTTCATTTCCATTCTTTAAATATTATAAAATAAGTCGAAAAGTAAACAACAGACGGCAATTTATTCATACTAGTGAATGAGCATATTTTTCTTTCCAACTTTCTTCTTTCGATGGATTTCTTTTACCATAATGATAATCATAGTTTGGTTGACAAGCTAATGTAGCATTTTTAACATCCGGAATTGTACAATAACCTTTTGATAATACAACCTAGTTAAAATAGAAAATAGTAAACAAATATTTATGTTTATTTTATATTTTTTTACTTTGCAAATAAGTAAGCCAAATTGAAATAGTTTTTGTGAACCAGTTACAGTTAACGCAATATCAGCATGACGAAGAACATGTACACCTTGTGACGATTGACCTAAGAAATAGTCAGAATACAAATAATCAAATAAATAAACAAATATCAATTGTTTACCTAATCTGTCATTGACAAACAGCGACAATTGATCACAACGTATACCATTAGATGCGATGCTTCGTGCGACATCTAGCGTCGGTAGTATTTGAAAAACAAACTTTTCTTTATAATTTTTGTCAAAACTTGCTTTTTTTTCACTAAAAAACCATCAACATTACTATCAAAGAGAATTTAAAAGTGTTTTGATGAATATGTCCCATACGTAAAATGTTTGTTTAATTGTGGATTTCGAAAAAAATAAATATTTTCAATTTCATTTTTTTTCAAATCAAATGATTGATCTAGATAAGATGAGCTAATATCATTGAATAAATCAATTGTATTTCGACTTGTTTTATTGTCGGGAATCAAATAATCTAAACAATAAAAGAGAATTCGATGATATATACCAACAAATGATAGTGTAAAGTGGCCAAACAAAAATTTGGATATATGAATCTAACGATTGAGTAAACAAAGGAATATTATACGAAAAGGCGGAAAGATCTCTTTTTCTGCGCTTTCTTTGCACTTAATTAAATGGATAAAACAGTATTTAAAAAATAAAGGTTTTTCTCTCAAAAGTGAGAAAGAGATCGATCGATATTGCTTTTCTATTTAATAAACACATACCTTTTTCTGCAACAAATGTTTTTGGAATTGTGAAATTTTTTCTAATTTTATCATCCATACTACAATAAATAAACAAAACAACAATATGATGAAAAGAAAACATACATCATAAACATATCAAAATTCTTTATTATTCACTAGAATAAACAAGTATCATCTCCATTGTTTTTGCACAATATTAGACCATAATCAAAACTTCGATTCTGATTTTGAAAATATCGAGTTTTCCGAGAACGCTAACTAACCAAACTCGAATGAATCGGTTTCCTCGATTTATCGGATTTTTTATTATCAACAAACAACAACAGTTCACGTAGAATATAACATCCATCTTCTAGTAAACAAAATTTGTCTGAAGCATTAGGGATGGATCAAAACGTTTCGTCGAAATATTAGAAGTCATCATACGGCAAAGATATCTTCGACGCTTCCAAATAAAAGAGAAAACTTTATAAAACGAAAATATTTATTTTTATAATGCAAAGTAACTGAACAAAAGAAGCATAACAATAACAAAATGAAAAATACTAAAGAAAAATAATATTTTAATGCACCGTCCAACGTAATTGAACGATGGCAAGTTCGATATATTTAAAAATCAATACTGCTTCTGATACCATTATTATTTTATATTTATTCATCGTAAATTGAACTGGTTTCTATTTCAATTCATTCATTTATTCCATCAGTATTAATTTTGCTCGATATTTTGTGTAACTCTTATACATACTGCTTAAACGGTTAAAACTTGTGATAAACAATTATATAACTATGAGTCATCATTGTATTTGTAATGCACACATCTGGAAATTTCTCGAATGCATAGCATCAGCATTTGCAAAACAACGAATAATGCTGGTTGAATGAACCAAAACACTGTTGTTGTTGTTTTTATAAAGAAGAATTTTCAAGAAAGGATAAAGATTAGGAGAAAATGTTCTGAAACGAACATTTTTCAATAAAAATAAAACCATCTAATATTATGAATAACACCAATCCAACTATATTTGTTTCAGATAATCGCTTGTTCTTACAGCCATTTTTTTAACGACCTTGCACGCTTTAGAAACGTAAAAAATGCGACATTAAATCATCAACAACAAACAACTTCAAATGTCAACATCAACGATACGTATATCAAATATCCAACACTAGACGGAATGTTATTTATTAGCCTTGTCTGACAAAAACATATTATTTTTATTGTGTATTATATCTTTGAATGATAAATAATATCTTATAATATAATTAGATAAGGCGCCACGAACTATTTGATGATAAAATATCGTGTACGTATGATGTTTTAATCGAACAAATCATCACGAAAGACTTATGTCATTCTTCTTTTCTGTTCTTGAGTATGAATATGCAATAGAAAATAAATATAGATAAAAGTGACGAAATGTTAATATTTAAACAAACCAAGAAACAATAGAGTAACCAAATCTCAATAGTGAATAATATGTTTCGTTTCAACAAATAGAGACACACATTTATAAAACTGATCAACAAAAAATTTATTTCACAATTATCTTAGAACAATAATCCAACATTATATAACAATCGAATGACGTTCCAGAAGTCGTAGATGTTTGCTCAGTATGACGGACACAAAGAACGTATGGGTGGAAAGTTATTCATGAAGAGTCTGACTATTTAAACTTGAAAGGTTAGGATATGCATTGAAAAAAAAATTTTTAATCAAGAAAATAGATTATGTGACAAAATTTTATCTGATGAAACGTTGTAGAGCAAAGTAAAAGAAAAGGTCGTATGGATTTACATTACATGTATTTGTTCAAACACCGTCTCTTTACAGAAAACTGTATTTCTTTGTTATGAAATGAAAGAATTATTATTAATAATATTTTACTGAATCAAATTGATCAAATTAGCTAATCATGCTGATATTCGTGTATACAAGCCGATATTATATTTATGTGTTTTGTAATCAATTTGTTTACCACTTGTAATCGATTTTTGGATGTTTCAAAATCATTCCAATTGGCCATCTTCACTCCATATATGAAAAAACAGGAAACATCAAACACACTTGCATTTTGTATTAGAACGTACCTTTTTTGATTGCACAAAAATTAATCGAAGCAAAACAAGTTTGTGTTGTTGATTTTTCTTCTTATTTACACGCATCAATAAAAACTTCTTTTGTTGTTCATCAATTAAGCTTCTTTGATTAGCTTTTTGTCCAAGTTGATTGACAATATTTAAATGCACGCATATTTTATATATATTGTAATTTCCAAATTGCACATATTCTCACGATGAAGATGCTGATAGTACAGCGAAATCGTTTCTTACTTGTGTTTTTTTCAAATAGGACATATGCATTACATCTGTGGGCACCGATGTTTGTATATGTATGCGTGTGTGTGTACATGTTTCTTCCGCACCGTTAGCTGGCTCATTTTCATTGGCTGTTCTTTTTTTGCGATCATTGTTAGTAACTGATGTGTCGAAGTTGATTAACATGACATAAAAAATTTCTTTTAATCTAACTATATATAAAAAAAAAGAAAAGGTGATCATTTTTTATCTTTATAACTTTCCAATAACAGCACCCAACCATAATGCACTTATTAATGGAAGTTTACTGCCTGACATCACCGTAAAATGACTTTTTTCCTTGGTGCATCTCTGTATACCAAAAAATGCCGAACGCGACCGCGTTTTTCTTTATTTTTTTGTTCGACCAAAATCTCGTTGATATATGCAATAAGAGTGCAATCTCTTTTCCCCTTCCTTCATCATTTACATTTTTTTTACTCCGTGACAACGGGTAAATAAGTTTGTTTCTTTATTCGGGCTCTCTCTTTCTCCATATATTTTAGGTTTGTCGACGACTAGAAAGAATAAGAAAAAAAAAAGAAATACAACATGGTATCTCTCTATATATAAGGTATAATATTATTCTCAAAACATTGGACCGTATTTCTCCTTTTTTTATGTCGACAGATCATTAAATTTTAACACAAAACCAATGGAGCACTTTTGTTTCATTTTCTAGGTATAATGTATAGACCATGTGTGAAGAGCATAAATCCATTTGGCTATAACAATTATATAAGAACAAATTACAAACGAAGAGAAGAATGTAGAAGACTTTCATATTGTATGGTGTATGCTCGAATATGAAGAAGAAAAGAGTTAAATCATTCCATATAAGAAAGACTTCGAGAAAAGGTTATCACCAGACAAATGCAATCCATTCAATTTAAGGTAGGGTATGTTCATATTTCTACACTTTATTAAATAGAATGATAATACAAACGTAAAGAATATTTCGCCTACGCAATTATGTTGCTTAATAAAATGATGCTTCATAGATAGTGAGCAAAAAAACATATCAAAATTTAAATAAACCATGAATGAACAATAATCAATAACTGCCTTTTTGTTATTCGAATAAACAGACAATTTTCTCTCAATTTTCAAAACAACTAGAATTATGATGAACTACATTCTATTAAAAATTGAAAAAAAATCTCGTTTAAACGGTAATAGTTGAAAAATAATTTTTTCAAAATTTATGGCATCTGACCGATCTTTGTATACATTCACTTATTAAATTCAACGACGTTCTATTTCTTTTCCAAACGAAGAAAAAAAATTGGCAAAGTTGATTTTATCATATAACTGAAGAGAAGAACAAAAACAACGCATGGTGATTACTCAATATGCAGTAAGCAAGGAAAGCTGTCAGATGTCGGTAGCAATATTCAAAATAAAGAAATCCATCTTACTAAAGAGTTGATGGAGAGTGATGGGATATGCCTAACAACGTAAATTGTCCACTATACACTCAAAAAGCAATTGTGTACGAAATGTGCAGCTTCAACACACAATCTGTGACACGCGACGACACGGATTGAATAGATCATATTCAAATCGAGCAGATTGTGCGCAGATGTTCATTTCACACAACACACAATCGCACATTTCTAATCATATTACACGTATTAAATAGTTCTCAGAGCGGATATGTTTCATTTTTTTATAATTCTCTCAGTGCCCTACTTGGCATTGGAGGGTCACACTACATGGTCGGGTAAAATCGACATCTAATACAGTTAGGTGCATTTTGACTGGAAAAAAAACTTGTTCTTATCTAATTAATTGATGCGTATATTGAGTAAGAGACGTGAAACGAAAAGATGAATGAAAATTGTTTATTGAAAAACAGTAAACACAGATCGACACATTTGTAACCCACGTACACACAACACACAAATTTTTAACACACTTGCCTATATGGACACAATCACATTTTCACACATTTCCGATTGTGTGTTAACACAATTTTTTTACAGTGTAGATTTAATATATTGTCAAAGGACATTTTTCTTGTAGTTTTCGAAACATTTTGTTGCAGATTTGATAAGTCACTTGATCTCAATAACAGAATTGAAATATAAAAACTAACCACAGTTTTAATTCTTTTCCAAAATCGAATTGAAAATTAAAAATGTTCTCTCACACCAACTGAAGCTCGGAGAATCAAGAAAAAGGAACGCTATCTAATCATGTGCAGCACACAACTGTCCAGCAACAACTTTCAACTAGCACTAAAAGACAATGTGTTGATTCAACATCCAACTGAGACAAACAACCAACGAATGACGATTACTTTGATACTATACATAGAAGTTTCATAACTACTAATAGCTTGATGATTCAATTCTTTTTCAAGACAAGAAGCTTTACTATATAGCTTCAACGTTAAGATTTTACATCTGCTCGCGCGGTGTCGCTTTTGTTTCTCGATCAAGTTAGCAACTATTAGTTTATTGCACGATTGTATCCGATAGGCTCCTGTCGTTATAATGTATGATTATTATACCGTGGTTAGCTCAAGTTTTAGCCGAAACTACTCCACTGAGAATCATAGGAATATGGATAGTTTCATTTGCTACACAAAAACAAGACATACACAAAGAAAAAAATTTACATGAGGTTAGTTGGTCGAAAAAGAAATTAGCCTAATTTTCTTCGAATACCATGCTCGAATCAATAATCAATACCATTCGCCAAGCGTACTAGGCCTGTGACTGAACTGCTCATAACGAAAGAGCAATGCTACTCACAGTCGACTACCTAG